ACGAGTCTGAGATTCGAACCTACGAGCCTAGGTTTCTGCTACGCCTAAGAGACGCACAGTAAATTAGGCCACCCGTACTCATTGATAGCGATGTTTTGATGGAGTGATGTGATGAGGTGGGTGATGTGGTGGGGTGGGTGATGTAATGCGGTGGGGTAGGGTATGAATGTTATGTCTACAGTTCCTCCATCTTGAAAAAACCGCCCGGAGAGCGGAAGGTCCGGAATTCGATCCCCGGCCACGTCATACAAAAAGATTGTACTTGTTGTTACCGTGCCTGGCGCACGAGACTAAAACAAGGACTGGTCGGTTCGGATTCAGTATACTGTGTCTGAGTGGGATATTTATGTTAAACTGCGGCATGGTATCTCAGTGTGCGGGCACTTTAAAGTCGGCAAATCCGGACTAGTACAAGCAAGCAGCCACACACACACGTGCATGCACGTTGCTATGTAAATGCAATGTTCTTGGACGCGACGTTAAACCCCATTTCACCTCACCTCACCTCCTCCATCTCATTATCACTGGAATATTGCCAAATACGGCGTAAAACTCTCCTCATTCACAGATCTGGTTATGATATCCAAAAAAGATGATGAAACAAACGAGTGATATTTGATGTGGTGGTTATTAAAAATGGCACAATGTCACTTTGGAACACACGACTGGCATTAATTAAGTCAGGTAGCAATTGAATGTTTGCCTCTGTGATGGAAATCGCTTTTCGCCGAAAGACGACTTTTTGTGCCTCCCAGACATGCGCAGTGCAATAACTCATAGCCGTCTCCCGTCGACCAAAATTTGGAATATTGCCCCCAACAAAAATGATTCGTTTCTGCGGTGAAAACAGCAACCTCTGTTCCGATAATCCTGCGTCATGTCGTCCCGACGATCTTAGATCAATTTATCAACGTTTCGCCGTTAGTTATTTGAAAGATACTGCCTTCCTGTGGACAGATTGTCTCATAATTTAGCGATTTCAAAGTGAGCAGAAATGGCCTTCCGTTTCGTCTCACTCCGCGCCGTCTATGTAACCAACATCTTCGACTGCCCGGACGGATCATTTCGTCATTCGTTTGTCCTTGTCAAAAACCGTTGCCATGGTAACGACCGATTTTACGTAACGTTTCTGCGGGCTGATTTATGGGGCGTTAAGTTGGGTGTTTTATCGCCCCCGCGAAAGAATCCTTACCGACAATTTGAGGAGAAATAACTGGGAATAACATGATTCTGTACTTTGACCTCTTCCCCATCGTCAGATTAACTCGGTAATTCGGTGACAAATCTTGATATTGCACTGCATGAAATTGCGCAGTCAACCGTAATGAATGCATTGCATTGTGTATGGTGCTCGCTCCGCCCGCCGTCCCCTAACAACGTTAAACCTCTGCTGTGATGGACGAACACGAGGAGGATTGTACAGTCGGAATAAATCGTCCATTTTGTGGACGTTCCTTGGCGTGTTTTTGCTACCGCGCCCCATCAAACTCGCTTTTATTATATCGAATTTTTGCCCTGGGCTCTCGTTAATCCAGTGAGTCCGGATTCTGACAATTATCCACATAAAGTATTTCTGGTATATTAAATCACGGCACGGTGAAATGACCACGGAGCGGGCTTATGTTCGGGGTCATGGTGTGATACGAGTGATTAGACGTGAAGTTTTTGAGACCAGATATTACAAGTTATGTTTGAACGCACAGCAAATGCCCCAAAGCCGTCCTTCTTCATATTCAAATATCCCGATTTTCGATGTATGTGGGAATATCTTAATGGATTTTATGCCGCTTTAACCACGAGGCTGCTCCACCTCCCCAGATTTTATAGAGTGTCTACCGTTTGTTTGTGAATCCAGTGATTGACGCCATGAGCATCGATCCACGCAATTGGGATACGGTGACATGCATCAACCATGTCAGCGAGCCTGACCACCCGAGCCCGTAAGTCGCCTTTCACGACAAACATGGGTTGCTGAAGACCAATTCTTCCGAGTCACATGATGCTATGCAGCTGAACCAGAGGAAGCAATTGAATAGCTAGTCAACTAACCGTAACCAAAGGATGCCATTCGATAAGCGATGTGATAGTATGTCACAAATGTTTCGTCAGGATATGATTTAATAAAAGGGATTATTATATAATTTGAAAATATTTCATGTTTTTCCCAGTTGTAAATATAATAATTTCAGAATATCCCAATGTAACCTCATCATGAAATTATACATTTTGAGTATTGATATTGACGTGATCATATCATTTTTTTGTTATTGTCTGAATTAAATCGGTAGTTCAATTGTATCATATTTTTATATATATGGCATACAGTTTTAAACTTCAGACATAAACAAAATATCTCACATATTGATGATTATATTGATTGAGTCCATTTAAACACGATTTAATACTCAGTCGCATGTCTTCCATGGATCTGGTTTAGGTTAGGTCCCCAGAAACCAATACTTGTCGATTCAGTCGAGCGGTTGGTCAGGACTGAAATGTACTTGTCTCTAAGTCATTGGACCGCCTTCGTGGTCTTGTGGTAGAGCGTCCACCCGGAGAGCGGAAGGTCCGGGGTTCGATCCCCGGCCGCATCATACCAAAAGACGTTGAAAGATGGTACTTGTTGTTACCCTGTCTGGCGCTCGGCGTTAAGGGGCTTAAACAAGGACTGGTCGGTCGGAGTCAGTATACTGTGTCTGAGTGGGGAATTCATGTTAAACTGCGGCATGGTATCTCAGTGTGCTAGCACTATAAATCGGCATCAGTCCGGACTAGTACAAGCAGCCACACACACACACACACACGTGCATGCACGTCGCTATATAAGTGCAATAATCTTGGACGCGACGTTAAACCCAATTTCACCTCACCTCACCTCTCAGTCATTGTCTGTAGGCAGTTTTAAATTATATATGTACACTTATAAGTTAGAAATGCAGATTTGGCGGTTACAGCAATATTCGAAGTATGCGTGGCGCTTTCGGTTACAAAATTTTAATTCAATTTATATCAGATGACCTTCCTTTCGGTAGTTTTATCTTATAAATATATTACTTCAAATTTATGAAGACCGAGACCGACTCCGTGGTCTTGTGGTAGAAGGACCGTGGCCTAAATGTAGAAGGTCCGTCCGGAGAGCGCAATGTCCGGGGTTCGATCCCTGGCCGCGTCATACCAAAAGACGTCAAAAGATTGTACTTGTTGTGACCCTGCCTGGTACTCGGCATTAATTGGCTGAAACAAGGACTGGTCGCCTCGGAGTCAGTATACTGTGTCTGAGTGGGATATTTATGTTAAACTGCAGTGGGCTAGCACAATATAGTCCGCAAATCCGGACAAGTACAAGCAGCCATACACACACGTGCATGCACGTCGCTATGTAAGTGCAATAATCTTGGACGCAACATTAAACCCCATCTCACCTCACCTCGTTCATCCGAAAATGTTTTGAGCCGTCCACTCTACCGTCCGCGTTAACTCGGTTAGATTACTCTTTCCTGATGGGACCGCCTCCGTGGTCTAATGGTAGAGCGTCCGCCCGGAGAGCGGAAGGTCCGGGGTTCGATCCCCGGCCGCCTCATACCAAAAAACGTTAAAAGATGGTACTTGTTGTTACCCTGTCTGGCGCTCGGCACCAGGACCAACAAGGACTAGTCGGCTCGGAGTCAGTATACTGTGTCTGAGTGGGGTATTCATGTTACACTGCGGCATGGTATCTCAGTGAGCTAGCACTATAAATCGGCATCAGTCCGGACTAGTACAAGCAGCCACACACACACACACACACGTGCATGCACGTCGCTGTATAAGTGTAATAATCTTGGACGCGACGTAAAACCCAATTTCACCTCACCTCACCTTTCCTGATACGACCCTTCTTCAGACAAGTTGCGAATACCGTGCGAGCTTCCCGAGTGTTGAGCAACAGAGAAGAAATTTGGAACAAGCTGTAGAACATATATGGTAACAGGTTCGCGTAGGCGGCGATATCCGAGTACTAGGGCACATAAATTTCAATTCAGAGAAAGCGATGACATCTTTATGTCCAGAATTTTCCGACTGGTTGGTTCCTTTGAAGGCATTGCTTCTTCTACGAAAGACAAAAACTCGCCGGAAACCAGCGTCCTTATCTAATAAGCGTTTGGCACGCAACAAGTACATTTCAAGGCTGTGATCGATGTGAAATGTGCAAGTAGAAATACTGAATTTGGGATGTTTTACAACGGAGGAATATATTCTGATTGCCATAAGAGACACGTTTGTGGGTATGTGTGTTGTGTGTATGTGTGTGTGTCGACGTAAGTTCATGTCCTAAGGACAGACCGATACTACTGGATATGGACAGATTATGTCGAGAAATTGGATAAATACAGCCTTGCTTCCAACAAAATGTAACTGCAATAGTGTAAACTTCATAATATTCAAATAGGGTATCTTAAAATATTGATATTTCTCTTTGTTGTCAATTTAATAGACCCGTAAAGATCCGGGTAGAATAGGTCTTCAGCAACCCATGCTTGCCGTAAGAGGCGACTGTGCTTGTCGAAAGAGGCGACTAACGGGATCGGGTGATCAGGCTCGCTGACTTGGTTAATGCATGTCACTGTATCCTAAATGCATAGATCATTGCTCAATCACTGGATTGTCTGGTCCAGACTCGATTATTTCCAGACCGCCGTCATAGAGCTTGAATATTGCTGAGTGCGGCGTTAAACAACAAACAAACAAATATTAATTTGATATTGGTATTGTGCAATCATTCATAAGGTTGTCGGAAGATGATTACGTCGAAGAAGTAGATGATTATATATATATATAGTCTTCCTTGAGCTAAAAAATAGTCCTGGCTTAGAATGCAAACATTAGTATTCACCTGATCGTGCCTCCTGTGTGTATAGCAGTTCTTAACCGAATCGTGTCGCCATATATCCAACAAACGGTTCAACCATACAATTGACTGTTTTAGGTTGTAAGAGTTTTTGTTTTTCTGTGTTCTTCAGATATCGTGAAGAACAAGATTGGAAGCTGTGTCACCATCTACCAAGATCTCATCAAACTGGATGAGAGCAAGCTGGACAATGATGGCCAGATCTACATGCGTACGTACTACAGCACATTATGTTGCAATCATAGAATAAATTTACACGTTAGTTAGAACGAACCGATCCCTTGTGATGCCGGGCAGTATTGGTCTCCAGCACACTATACCTGTTTTCTTGGTTTGTTGTTTAACGCCGCACTCAGCAATATTCCAGCTATATGACGGCGGTCTGGAAATATTCGATTCTGGACCAGACAATCCAGTGATTGACATCATGAGCATCGATCCACGCAATTGGGATATGGTGACATGCATCAACCAAGTCAGCGAGCCTGACCAACCGATCCCGTCAGTCGCCTCGTACGACCAGCATAGACGCCTTTTACGGCAAGCATGGGTTGCTGAAGACCTATTCTGACCCGGATCTTCATGGGTCACAATACTTATAAACAGGCGCCGCTTTTGTGAGTGTCAGAGAGGAACCGCTTCTGTGTGTATCTGATGTCCACAATAAGTGACCTGGGTGTCATCGTGCCCCGGCGCCGAGCGTTATCAACCCCTGGTGTTTTCGGCCCAGACTCGATCACAGACCACCATTATATACCTTTAATAATGTTGAAGCTTCAGTGCACTGCTCATTGTGATAGGCTCTTCTCGTTGGGAATGGCAGCTTCAAATACACATGTAGGTCCCCACTATGATCAGAGCTACATGGGATCGTTTGTGGGGTTATATTACTGATATCGTACTGTATCAGTCAGTGGTTTGTTTGGTCAAGATTTTAAAGGCAGTCGTGATCGATACTGAATAAAATACTTTAGGGATCATGAATATATTGGGGATAGATTTGTGTAGTGAAGACTGAGTTTCTTAAGTGTGCACAGTATAAAAACATATTTCATGATCCGGGGGCACGGGTGGCCCAGTCGTCTAAGGCGCCGCGATTCGCTGTGCATAGTTGCGTCCCTTGGGCAAGCCAGAAACCTATGATTGTGGGTTCGAATCACGGTTTCTAGGTTTGTCAGCACCATACCCATGCTCGTGGGTTTCACCGAAGCAGTTAACGTCTGAGACCTGCATCACTTGGGGCTTTCCTCCCACATTAAGCTGACACGCCGTGATATGACTGGAATACTGTTAAAAGCGGCGTTAAACCCAACTCACTCACTCATTCACTATTTCATGATCCCTTACTTTTTTCGTTTGAATTTTATTTGGATATTGCTGTCTCTGGCGTTTAATAATTCTTTCTTTGGATCTGACAGTTAAGATGTTGTTAAATGATAGTGTTAGAATACATGGTCGGTTAATGCACTAAGATGGTCGTGCACTGTGAACATCCTTGATTGATGGTATCATCTTTCAGCAAAATCCTTATCCGAGCAGACCGCACTGATTCGTTCGTAGGGAGGAATTGTTTTGAATGTATGCTGATTAATATTCATGCTTCAAACATAAATGAATATAATTATCCATTGTCCATTAGAGGTTTTACCAGCCCAGTACAAAGGTTTCTGAAGCCACTTGGTAGTCGACTGGCTAAACCGTCGACACGACATGCGGAAGGTCTGAGTTCGTTTCCTTCTTGGTGCAATGCCTGAATCGTATTTATCCCCTTGGTGTGGATGGGATATTGCTAAAGGCGACGATAAACGCCGCTCACTAACTTGCATATATTCCCGTACCGTCTTGTGATTGTAAATGTTGGTTGTAAATGACCAGTGATATATGCCCTACCTTGTTCCCTAGACTTGTCGCGATCTGTCGTGGGTTTCGCCATCACCATGGGAGCTGTCCAGATCGCTGCCATCTTCACACTCATATGCGGCAACTGGCCGGGCAATTGTAAAACTATTCGGAAAGGCAAGCTGTACCTCACCTCCTCCCTCATCCTGCTGTTTGCCAGTAAGTACAAAACCTCAGTGTCACGCTATTTGCCAGTAAGTACAACACAGCTGTGTCACGCTATTTGCCAGGAAGTACAACACAGCTGTGTCACGCTATTTGCCAGGAAGTACAACACAGCTGTGTCACGCTATTTGCTATTCACGAGCTTTATTATTTTCTGCTATACTCTAAAACGCCCGTAACACATTGGAAAAGCAAGATCAGCCGAGTCAGCTGACATGCATCTTTTGGAGAACTACGTTTTTTTACTTTTGACGTTTGTCCACTTAACCAGATTCGATAATGAAAACTAGCCATGAAACGTCATGACAAATATTCTCATTGTTCTCGGGTGGTAACGTCCACAGCGACAATGACGTTAATGGCCAGTACCATCTCACCCGAATTTGGTCAGGTCATCAGGGTCACGCCTTGTCTGAACAACAGCAAAAGGTCAATGTTGCGTTTCTTATCTGCTTGATGATATACGCATGATATCTGATATCTCTTGCCTCATGCTTCTTTCTCAACTATATGTGCTGAAAACCGCATTCACTGTTTAAATATATGGTTTAATGAGTGAGTGAGTGAGTATTGTTTCACGCCGCTTTTAGCAATATTCCAGCAATATAACGGCGGGGGACACCAGAAATGGGCTTCACACATTGTACCCATGTGGGGAATCGAACCCGGGTCTTTGACGTGACGAGCGAAATATGTTTTAATGAAAACGATGAGCCTAAATAATAATTTTTAAATACACATCTTACAACCTTGTATTTTTTGTGGCAGACGATTACTTTTTTTCAACAGTTTGAACCATATTTCTTTTCAACCATTTACAGGGACAATTTATTTTCTTCGATAAAAACTGTGCCGTTTTAATAGCTGCGCTGGGCTAGATTCACTCACTCACACGTAACAATTTTCGCTCCTCACGTCAAAACCCGGGTTCGATTCCCAACATGGACACGTTGCTTGAAGCCATTTTCCGGTATCCCCCGCCATGATATTGCTCAAAGCGGCGTTAAAACACACTCACTCACTCGTAATGATTGTGTTCTCAGTTGTCCCGTCAACGTGTATTTCATCCTTGTCTGTTGTGTCAGTTTGTATTAAACATTTTAATTCATCAACCCGTTTGGAATGTTTCAATTCCAATGCACTCCTACAAAATCAATCGTTATTCAATTAAACGAAAATCCATCTTTTTAAATGACACATTGCTTTCATCCCGAACGGCGTCACATCACGTTGTTAAGTGCGCCATTAGTGCGCGAGCAGGGGGCACAACCTCAGATAAGTGCGATAAATTGGGTAACTTTTTTGGCTAACAGTTATTCATCTATGTCAAGACTTCATTTGAAGTGTGGCCAATGTCTTTTTGTATATGCTCAAAGCAAATATACTGTTAAATCCTAACCTTAAGAGGTTATAGCAAAATGACAATATATGCCTCAGTCTGAGTAACGAGCTGTGGTATCACTGTAACGGGTTATCAAACAGTGAATGATATTTTATGACAAGAAGATATTTATTTATCTGAGGATATCAGTTTAAAGGCACAGTGCAAAGCGAGATGGCCATGTTAAAATGGATCCATGAAAATATTTATTGTTTTTCAAGGAAAATTCTAACACAAGTACTTTCTCTTTTGGAGTGTAATTTGGTAAAATCTTTCGTCATATAACGGGTTCGCATTTTCCTGATATTCTCAAAAATTGTGTTTAATCATATTTTGGTAAGATTAGACACATACGTAGAATGATTTCACTTTTCCAAATAATATTACCTTTCTTATATAATGTACCTTAATTGCACTTCAATAATAGTTATGCCTCATTGGAGAAATTGTTTGTGTCTTGTTATGTTACGTTCATGAATAATTAGGTAATCACCCAGTATGCTATTGGTCGGTAGGGTAGCCTAGTGTTGAAACGTTTGCTGTCACACCGAATTCCCGGGTTCGATTCCCGTGTTTTTTGCTGGAATACTAGTGCTGGAATTAGTGGAACACTCACTCACTCACTCACACTCACTCACTCACTCACACTCACTCACTCACTCACTCACTCACTCACTCACCCAAACACCCACCCACCCACTCATTCACTCACTCACTCACTCACTCACCCAAACAGCCACCAACTCACTCACTCACGCACTCACTCACTCACTCACTCACCCAAACACCCACCCACTCACTCACTCACTAACTCACTCACTCACTCACTCACACACTCACTCACTCACTCACCCAAACACCCACCCACTCACTCACTCACTCATTCATTCACTCACTCACTCACTCACTCACTCACTCACTCACTCACTCACTCACTCGCTCACTCACTCACCCAAACACCCACCCACTCACTCACTCACTCACTCACTCACTCACCCAAACACCCACCCAATCACTCACGCACTCACTCACTCACTCACTCACTCACTCACTCACATTCAGCGTTGAAGTGTCTGCCTGTATATGTGGATTTGTCCAAAACACGCTACTAGATTATACACATGTGAGACATGAAGATAAAGTTATATTTAAAAACAAATTTGTCAAACATATTTGGGCATAACAATATTATTTATACAGTTGAAAAGAAGGGCTATAGGCCACCAGTAACCAAAGCTAGGTCACGCCGATGGGGATCCTGGGGTCTTACAGTACCTCAGCTTCCCGCATGATACCCCAGCAGGATTTACGTCATCACATTAGCCACTGGTGGTTGTGCAAAATACTAGCCAATATTAATGAATACCTCGCAATGAGTTGGCTTCAAACACTGGTTGATGATAGTTTCATCGGTTATGATAGGATTACGTGTCACACAGGGGACAATAATTGTACGGTACTTTAACCTCCTTGGCAGAGCCTTCTAGAATCTTTGTTGATTAAAGCATAATTGTCCAAAACATGGTCGACGACGAAGTGATAACCCTGTCCACCAAGACGAGTCCAGTCGTAGAACACATAAACTGTAATTTGGATCCTTATCAACCTAGTGTGAATCTGTGTTTTGTTTTGCGCTACGTGCTATGTATAATGATCCTGTGATTTATTTTAGATTAACGCCGATTTGAACAATATGTTATACGCCGTTATAAATTTATACCAGTGTCGCGCATGTGTGGTGAGAAACTCACGTGCAGGGGTATAGCATTGACAGACAAGTGATTATAGTCAGGGCCATTCGGATATAAGCGCCGCGATCAGCGGATACTGACACGGCTAAGGGACGCAACTCTCCACGTCTGTAAAATGAATTATTCATGTTTTTATAAGTAATACGATCAACTCTTTACTGTTTTTCTTTCCAGCAATGTGCGGCATTGTGAGCGGTATCAGTTTTATTGCTCTGCGTGACATTGACAGGAAAGATCGCGGTATGTACCCTGATGGCGTCTCCTCTGAATATGGTTGGTCATTCATGGTCACGTGGATATCATCCGGGCTCAATCTCGTGGACAGCTTCATCCTTCTGTGTTTGTTACGGACAGTGTACGACGACGTCAACGAAGGCAACAAATACTACTACTACAACATGGGAAACTAGTTCCAGTAGGTTGCATTGAGCATATTTAATGTTTATAGACATTTGTATATTGTAAAAACCCGCCCTGTGTAATCGAGAAGGACCGCGTGTTGTCCCCATAATGCTGTTGATGACGATTTGTTAATAACGTAACTATCACATCAAGACATGTTCCTTGCCTTGAGTATGTCATATACGGCCATTGATGAGCAATATTTATTCGGTTTGATGGTCACATGTATCTTGACTGTATGTTATCTTTGACACAATACGATGAGCTGTTTTTTCCATACTAGGTTTAGAAACACAAGTGGAATAAAAACGTGTGCATGTGCAAACTAGTATTTTTTTGCGAGACCATTTGAGCAGCATTTGTTGGCTCATTTATAGATAAAGCCAAAGACCAATTACGTATTCCAAAAGAACAGTTCACGCCATTCGCTAGGCAAATTAGTCTCAGTGATTAGTTTGTTTTTGTTCGTGAAATTTTTTAATTACTTAACGAATGGACGCTTATCCATAAACACCAAACCATACCACTTTTTACGAAAGATAAAAAAAAGAAAGCATTCAGTCACTTTGGCATCAGTTCGGCTGTGTGAGTGTACGTTGGCTGTCCGTCTGTCCATCTGGCTATCTTGCCACGGGTACAACCGTACCATAACTGGCATTCTTGGGAAAATGTTTAACATATCACGATGGCCTCTTACCTATATCTCATTGTCTGATGTTAAAAGCGTAAGCGCTTTGTCCAGCAAACTTCACAGTAAATTCTCCATTAGAATGTATTTCAAAATGATAGATTTATCTTCCTCCATAAAACATTTCGTATCCAACCTTGACACTGGTTGATTTATAGGATATCGTTGTCATGAATGATAGAACTAGATAGTCTGTCCTTGTTTTCAGTTCATAGGTAAATGCTTGAAGCTTATTCATTGTGTACTCAATGTTGACAAAACATGTAGATTCATATATTCATTTTTTTTGTAAATAATTTATTTGAGCTTTCCTTGAGTCAGAGCTACAGAAGCAATGCTTTTCTTACATCATACCATTGTATTCAAACATGAAACAATTTCTAATTCACAAAATAATCGTTATACTTTGTACAAAGGGATTTAATTACGCTTACAGTTTACTTAAAATATATATCATTTCTTTCCTAGTAAAAGACATTTATCTTTCGTAGTCATATCCTTTGAAATTGGTTAAATTCTTCTTGCAAAACAACAGGTTATTTATTAAATATAGCGTTTTATACAAATCTACGTCATGTCAATAGAATAAGCACAGACGGTCAGCGTCCTTATGAATTGTCGAAAGGTGAACTTCAGTACCCCGACACAGTTCTAGTTTGCCTTTGTCTATCCGCAATCCCCAGGACCATAAAAACGGGGCATAAACACATGGCCTAGATACAAACACACTAGAGAGTGTCACAGTACAAAAATGGATATATTTCTGATCACGCGCCTAACTGTCTAGACGCATGTGTGTTTCGAGGGAAAATATTGTCACGTCAAAGGACAAATCGATATTAATATGTACATAGAAATCGGATATTCATACTTTCACATATCGTGTCGATGTAGTTGTATTTAATGTGTCGATAGAAAGCAAATCGAGTTCATGTCCACGAAAAAGCCCCAAACGATATTACATGGAATAGCTCATGCTGCTAACAGGTCTGTATTGTGGAAGCCTTTTGCTATGTTACTATTTACAGGTTCTGTGTTTAGTCTGAGAATCGCGATTGTTCAGATCATTGGACCATGACTATTTCTAAAGTAGGTAAATGAAACTATTCGGTTGTTGTGAACAGGCGACCTCGTTATGGAAGATGTTTTGCATTGATGAATAAACGCAAGGCCAATATGACATCCCCCTGAAGTCAGGCTTGTGACAGTATGGGAATGGGGAATCATATATTTTAAGTCTCTGGTGTTTGACGTACTCTTGATGCCATTATCCTGTACTAACGTTTGAAATGTGTTTATCAAACAAACCCATAAGTCTGAAGAGGTCTGTCCAGAATACATAGCTTGTGGCGTTTTTATGTGTATTACGAAATCGTGTCATGACTTGAATGCCATTGTCGTTACGCGCCTTGTAATGTCATTGTCGTTACGCGCCTTGTAATGTCGATGTCGTTACGCGCCGTGTAATGTCATTGTCGTTACGCGCCTTGTAATGTCATTGTCGTTACACGCCTTGTATTGTCGATGTCGTTACGCGCCTTGTAATGTCATTGTCGTTACGCGCCTTGTAATGTCGATGTCATTAAACGCCTTGCAATGTCATTGTCGTTGCACGCCCTGTAATGTCGATGTCGTTACGCGCCTTGTAATGTCATTGTCGTTTCACGCCTTGTAATGCCATTGTCGTTACACGTCTTGTCACGTCATGATGCAAGCCGCGTCCATGTGAGGAGCTCGTGATGTCTTGTTGATAATTACGATTATTAATGTCACAAAATTCTATTTTACAAAACGGTATAAAACAATCTGGGCTGTTTGACATCTCCCTTACACCAGAACTTAGTTCGAGCAAAACATTTCTGCTGCAACGACATTCATTTTGAGATGCAACAAATTATGTAAATTACCAATAATAATTATCAGTTGTCGATGTTGTGTATTATGTTAATGTTACTTTTAATATACTCTTGTGTGATATATGTACAAAGTGTTTTATGAAGTCAAGTTGGATTCTCACCAATAATCATGTGTTGCCATTCATTGCCATTTTAACAATATTGTCATTTCTTAATGTTTATATATTTTGAGTTTGTTATCACTGCATAATAGTACTTGTCATTTGAAATAAACAGTATATATTTAATAAAGGTCTTAATTTTAAATATGTGTTGGTGTTATTGGAAAATATGAAAGATTGAAAGGAAGTCATCTCTTCATTGAAATAAAGAGTGAGTGAGTTGGGTTCAACGCCGCTTTTAACAGTATTCCAGTTATATCACGGCGTGTCAGCTTAATGTGGTAGGACAGCCCGAAGTGGTACAGGTCTTAGACGTTTACCGCTTTGGTGAAACCAACGAACACGAATAACATAATCAAGGAGAACCGGGACTCGAACCCAGATCATACTTTTCTGGCCAGCCCAAGGGACACAGCGAAGTACGGCTTCTAAAACGACTGGGACTGCCGTGTCCCCTTCAAATAATAAACATACAGGATGTTGGAGGGAGGTCTGCAATAAAAGCAGAACACACACATATTTTAAACAATTAAACATGCGGCAATACTATATGTGAAGCTCATTTCTGGAGTTCCCCGCCGTGATATTTCTGGAATATGGCTAAAAGCGGCGTAAAACCATACTCCCTCACAGTGCTTTGTTGAGGTGTGTGTAACACCGATAGAACACCTTTCGCGAACACCTGGTATCATCACTATTTGAAAGTGAATCATAAACACATGAAATAGTCGGAATCGTGCAACGGACCGCCTCCGTGGTCTAATGGTAGAGCGTCCGCCCGGAGAGCGGAAGGTCCGGGGTTCGATCCCCCGCCGCGTCATACCAAAAGACGTTAAAAGATGGTACTTGTTGTTACCCTGTCTGGCGCCCGGCATTAAGGGGCCAAAACAAGGACTGGTCGGCTCGGAGTCAGTATACTGTGTCTGAGTGGGGTATTCATGTTAAACTGCGGCATGGTATCTCAGTGAGCTAGCACTATAAATCGACATCAGTCCGGACTAGTACAAGCAGCCACACTAACACACACACGTGCATGCACGTCGCTATATAAGTGCAATAATCTTGAACGCGACGTTAAACCCAATTTCACCTCACCTCACCTCTGCTTTCAGCACAGATTTTTTATGACACAATGGTTTTGTCGCAGGTTGCCATGATGAGTACAGATGTACAGAGAGTTGGAACCAAACCAGAAACAAATTAAGCCCGTGATGGGGGCAGGGTTAACTCTCATGTCTTCGTCGCCGCAATTAATTGTGCAATGTTTTGTTGGTGGGTTCGAATCCCAGATTTTCCCTGATTGCGGGTTCAGGTTTGTCAGCAACTTGCTCATAGGTTTCACCAAAGTGTTAAACATCTGTGCGTCATCAGATTTGTACGTTTTCTCAATCTTACCTCCAGCTAAACGGATCATAAATTTCCCAACATGTAAACAGTTGGGTAAGAGGAGAGTTCGTATGCAATGTCTAGTGTCGACTTTCCAATGGTCGATAGATGAGCACTGGTTGCACGATGACGCAAAATCAGACAGTAGCCATTGATGTTTTCCTATTCAGGGCCTGTCATGATGCTGCGAAATTCTCCGTCATTCCGCTTTGGTCCTAATCGTCCCAATATGTGCTGATTGAAAGTCTGAATTATTCGTCCCGAATAAGGTTTTACGTCAGTATTCTTGTCCTTTGTTTGTCAGACTGATCAATGTAAAACGATGAACCCATACATTCTTAGATACACCTTTGATTTGGAAACAAACAAACTTATTCGCTATATGGCGGCGGTCTGTAAATAATCGGTTTGGGCCAGACAATAAAGTGATTGGCATCATGAGCATCGATATACGCAATGGGGGGATTCGATGACACGCGTCAACGAAGCGAGTGAACCTGACCACCCGATCCCGTAAGTCGCCACTAATGACAAGCGGGACGGTGGAGTAGCCTAGTGGTTAAAGCATTCGCTCGTCACGCCGAAGGCCCGGGTTCGATTCCCCACATCGGTACAATGTGTGAAGCCCATTTCTGGAGTGTCCCGCCGTGATATTGCTGGAATATTGCTACAAGCGGCGTAAAACCATACTCAATCATACTTATGACAAGCATGGTAGCGGAAAACAAGTTCTAAACCGGATCGTAACAAGACACATGAAGCGCCGTTAACGAATTCGAACTTAACATTGGACCAAGTTTCGAAATTTTCTTTCTACGTGATTTCTTTGGTCGGAAATAATTGAGTTTTCTTTGCGTTTTCAAAGGAACTTAGTTTTTTGTCAACCATAAAAATTCCAACACTAACAAGAAAAGGCTAAGCCGTGGGACTTAAAGCACTGCCTTTAAGCACTTTACTACCATACGAATCTAAGATCCAATTTGATTTAAACTTCTGGATGAAAAATATATATTAGATATCAAAATTATGACTAACAAATTTTGATATATCTTGAAGATTACCAAAATTTATTTCAGATTAGGAACCATTCACATCTTCCCGAATCACCACTGACGCCCCTCGAACGGCTTCACCAACTAACCTGATCCAATTTCGTTTTAAGACGTCTTTCAGACGCTTATATAATCACAAAGTTCGGCATTCCCACTTTTGTGAAAATCGATGGCGGACATAAGAGCCTAGACTCGCGCCATCTTGGATTGGAAGGTGTTTCATTACCCGAAAGCTAGGAGTGGAAGACTTATTTATCCGAAAGTGTCATTTCATTTTCTCGGGGTGTGATGGATCTTATTTTACTCATCAATAATAAACCCAGCAATTGTTCCAATGCAGTGTATTCTGACCTATCGCTGAGGTAACGGGATCGGCACAGACAGTATAACAAACGCTAGAATCATAACCAAATTAAGATAACGATGCGCAGAAATTGTGAAGTCATCATTTATATAGGGCGGGTACTTAAGGTTATCGAACTTCTCACTGTGTCACAACAAGCACTGCTTTCCACTGATAATCAAGGACAAAACTGTAACCTCCATCTGTGGAAAAGTCCGATTTGATTTGAAGTGTTGCAAACGTTTCGCAAATCGTTATGGGCCTATTAAAGGCATCACGTTTTCTCCGTAGGAGTAATTGCAAATATTACACCCAGTTTATCTTCGTATGAAATCCTAGTTGTATGCCAATGCTTGTTGGGCGTTTGTGTGTTGTTTGACAACATTGGTGCAGTGATCGATTTTTACGCATAGTAATCTTATCGTTCAATGTCGGTACTGTTGACGTTCCAAACATATGCTGATTTTTAGTTAAACGTCTTTTTCCGGAATAGCCGAACTCGTGGCTGCTTAAACCGTTGGGTAGAGTATCCAATAGTATTGATCTAAACCACAGGTGTCCACGTGAAAATCCGGGTTAAATTTAATATTAAATAACCCATCCTTGTAAGAGGCGACTAACGGGATCGGGTGGTCCAACTCGATGTTTCGGTTGATGTCATCGTAACCCAGTTGCGTAGATCGATGCTTACGATACCAATCACTGGATTGTGTGGTCCAGACTCGATCACTCACAGACAGTCATATAGATGGAATATTGCTGAAACGAAAAACACCAAACAAACAGACATTCTTTTCCCGATGAAATAGCACCTTCCTTTTTTATCAGATCCTTTGGTTGCGCTTTATTGAAGTATTTCATTTATTATAAACCTACTGCCACTTTTAATGTTTTGTAACCCACTGTTAGGTGATGGGCAGGTGATGGTAAAAAAACATGTACAAAGCAATGTGTGGTAATGACTTCACACGTCATACAGCATTGGGGCGGTGGGGTAGCCTAGTGGTTAAAGCGTTCGCTCGTCACGCTGAAGACCTGTGTTCGATTCCCGACTTGGGCACAATGTGTGAAGCTCATATCTGGTGTCACCCGCTGGGATATTTCTGGAATATTGCTAAAAGCGGCGTAAAACCATACTCACTCTTATAGTGCTTGGTTGAGGTGTAACACCGATAGAACGCCTTTTCGCGAACACCTGGTATCATCACTATTTGAAAGTGATTCATAAACACATGAAATAGTCGGAATCGTACAATGGACTCTGCTTTTAGCACAGATTTGTTAACCTTCTAGCTCCCCACAGGCAGCTTGGGTGTATACTCCCCAGGGAGCTGAGAATTAAAATCGAGTGCTCACTGATCCGTTGACCGGGGTAATAATAGTGTAGCGCTTTGAGCATCCACTTGGTGAATGGAATCTGGCGCATTGTAAATGCACTTATTATTATTATGATTATAGAAAATGGTTTTGTCGCAGGTTGCCATGATGATGACGTGCCATGACGAGTACAGATGTACAGAGAGTTGAAACCAAGCCAAAAACAAATTAACAGGTTTTGATGCAAGCAGATTGTCTTGTTGCATTTTCAGAAACTATCATACAACTTAAACACGGACGTACAATCACATACCTGGAACCTAGTTAAATGTCATGTGTTGACATAATTACACAAGACATCCAAAGGATATCGACATTTTCGGAAACCAATCACCCCCCTAAAATATTGTGTACATTTACTCACAGTTATTGTTTCCAGTAGAGAATGATACACAGCCAAAATGTATGAGTGAGTGAGTGAGTGAGTTGGGTTTAACGCCGCTTTTAACAGTATTACAGTTATATCGCGGCGTGTCAGCTTAATGTGGGAGGAAAGCCCGAAGTAATGCAGGTCTCAGACGTTTACCACTTCGGTGAAACCCACGAGCACGGGTATGGTGCTGACAAACCTAGAAACATAATCGGGGCGAACCGAGATTCGAACCCACGATCATAGGTTTCTGGCGTGCCCAAGGGACGCAACTCTGCACAGCGAATCGCGGCGCCTTAGACGACTGGGCCACCCGTGCCCCCAACATGTATGATGTATACACCATGTCCACCACTTCTGCCTCACGTTAAAGTTATACTAGAGAATACATATTGTCTTCAGGAAAGATTTAGGATTGGACGTCGGTCATGCCTTTCTATCATCATCTCTGATATCAATAATATGATAACGATCGATATTTTTCATCATTGAAAGACCCATTGCTTACAAGCTGTTTACGACATGTAGAGATAATGAAGAGTCTCTTGAAGCAGACAATGTACTTACATGTAATATGTGAGACGGTATAAAGAGGCATGTTTGTCAGATTCAGAGCA